ACAGCAAGGAAGAATGATCAGCAAAGCTCAGAACTGTTTGCCTAGTATCTTAAGAGAACTTTAGGTAGTTATATCTCAGCATAAGTGTGTGGATCCAAGATGTGGGACTGTGATTCCACCTTCTTCCTCTGACTTATAAACTTATTTTGCAATTGGCCTGCATGCTATGCCTAGAAGTCCAATTCTCTGACCTCAACTGTTCAACAATCTGGGCTAGCAGATGATGGGTGACCAATAACTATGTATTGAATAAATGAACACAATTCCATCCATTTCACTAGGTATAAGCCTTTATCGCCCTCTCCTTTGACCTTCTACATACCACTAGAGTATCTCAGTTCATTAGGTGTTTTGTACTTTTGTACACCATCAGGAGTGCAAAGACTGAAGACAGTTAGGCAGAAAGTAAGGGGGCCACTGACAGGAATTAGGAGTATCCATAGAAAAGAGTGTCCTCACAAGAGAGGACACAAGGGAAGAAGGAAAAGCACCACAGCACAGCTGTGTAGGACCATTTAGCCTGGGGAAAAGTGGCTCTTTGCACTCCAAGGGGCCCATGAATATATCACTAGAGTATTAAGGCCAAGCACACAGGCAAAATGACTGGTAAAATTCAGTGAAAAAAATACTCCCCTCATATTTTTATAGCCCTAGATGGCATCAAGACATCAAAGTTTAGTTCAGTATCATGTTCAAACCAAGGACCAGAATCACTGAGAAAAGGTTAAATGAGATTCACCACCTTGTCAGCAGGCTGCCAAGAACAAACACATTTTAGAAACATTCCTTTCTAGAACAGCAAAATTTCTCATAAATGTCAGAACTTCAAGTAATAGGATTTCAGTTATCTTAGACTTATTTTTATCTTACTTATTCCCCAAAGTATCAGATAGCCAAGACACCATATGTAGACAAACATATCTTATAATGAATCAATGTACCTTACAGGGTGGATAATCAGGGACTTGGGGAGGATCTGATTACATAAAGGTCATCACTAGACAGTATCTTGAAGAAATCACATCCGGAGCTAGACATTCCAAGTCAGATAAACTCTTATCATCATAATTAATCCAGATTGCCCACATTTCTGACTGGAGCTCGATTCTCTGCTTACCTTGGCTACCCTTTCAGGGTAGGGTTCCAAGTTTCATGTTCATGAATTTTATTGCTCTCTTTATATGGTATATCTTCTTCGGACATATAATGGCTAATTCTAGCTCTGTCCCACAGTTCTATCCTCTAGTGCCCAGAGTAGCTCCAACATTCACTTCTGGCCACTTTTTACTACTTCTTCACTCTTTGCTAGGCCATGGCAGAAGGGCAAGATGAATCCACATAATAACACAATGCCATATGGATTTTGCTACAGTGATTTTGTCTATGACTCCTTTGTGCCTGAATTAGGTTCCCATAGGAGTGACACTTTTTGATCAATTTTCTGAAACAGGATATAGTACACACTAACAGGATAGTGTGGGATAGTAACCCATCCTCAAGGAATAAAATGGCTCAACTCCTGGCTGGTTATATCTACTTATGTATAGCAGCCCTTATAGTCAGATGTAAATGAAGACAGACAGAAGATAGTCCTGTGGGAGTCAATGGCCAAGCTTAACCTTAAAGAACTGTTAAAGAAGAGGTGTTCAAACATTACTGTTAAAGGGTTATCGTAGTAGCTAGGAGATTCTGGCCACCACCCCAATAAAGTCTAATTCAGTGAGCCTGAGGATTTTTTTTCCCAGATAGGGTCTTACTAGGCAGCTCAAACTCATGATCCTCCAGCCTCAGCCTCCTCCTGACACTAGGTTGGATTCTGCAAGAATCCAATTGTCTTTTAACAAGAGTGGAAGGTAATTTTCATGCAATTAGTCACTGAGCCCTTCTATGAGCAACAGTGATTCACAGCAATGAGACTATCTGACACAGGCAGTAAGAGAGAAAGAAGTGAAGGGTGGATATGTTGATATGTGATATGTGGTTGATAACACATATCCCCTCATGGCCTTTCTTGTTCCCATAATGCATTAGGCTCCTGATAAAATGCTTCTTCCTGTTCAAACATTGCTTCTTCCCATAATGGCCTCGTTGCCTGGTAAGCCAATCAAAAAGAGCAAGGGTGGTATATGCATGAGCCATCAAGCAATCAGCACAAAGCTCAGGGGAGGAGCTAGGGGAGGAGGCCATTCTATAAAAACCACCCTCCAAGAAGACTCCATTGGACTCTTCTCTAGACCTCTCTCTAGATGGAGTCTTGCTACTTTCTTTCACAGCTTTCCTATTCACTTTCTAATAAACATACTGTTTACCTCAAACATTTTCCTGCTTTTTAATTCTTTAATGGGTAAGGGAAATGAATTTTCCCCTAGGCAGTATCAATGTGACAGGCATAGTAAATACACAAGACTTTCTTTGATGCCACGAAACATCCTGTCAAAGGCAAGTCATCTAGCCAATCCTTTCCTAATGATCTTATTGCTGAATATCAGCCCAGTTTCAA